GTCATTATGCCCATGCATTATGCAGGATTAGCAGTATCAAAGGGAGGGAGTAAGGTTAGAATTAATAAAGGGAAGGAATGTTAATAATATGGCGCCACAGCAACTAATATGCTTATAGACTATACATTGTAATATTACACTATATATTATTCTACCCAACCAACTGTATACTACACTGCTATATATTCACTATAAAATTACGATACTATATATTACCTTATACATTGTATTAAACATTACACTTTAATACTATTTATTATTATACAATATGCTATATACTATACCATTGACCGTCGCGTGAAAGGTACTAAGAGGAAGCAACGAAATATGTCAATGGGAGAGTGGTAGTAGGAAGCTTGCAGCGGAGCAAAGAATCCTTCTACGTGACTTTACCGAAAGAACCAAGAAGTTAAACTATTAATTTCAGTGAAATATTAAATAAAGCAGAGACCATCAAGAGCAGCACAAGTATGCAAGTAATAATGGAATACTACAAACAGATATTATGGCCTCTTAGGTTACTTGCTCGCCTGGGATCAAACTGCCTGACATCTCATCACACGGATGTGTACATGGGCACAAACTTTCCAGATTGTCTTGGGTCGGGCCGAACCGACTGGTGTGTGGCTCTCGGTGTCTTGGCACCGTTTTGGTTTGTGTGCCACTCTGACTGCACGTGACTGCAGAGCTGCCCAACAAACAGCCGTCCACATTGATGATTCTCCCTCACGACAAATTAAAGTTCGAGTGAGAAATCTGATTGCCAATAAAGTTATTGAGTGGATTGGATATTACCCTTTGATAGCAAAATGCAAGAAGTTACTAGCTCTGGTCACATCCACAGAAAACCTAATACAAGGCAATTCACTCGAGGATATGCATCCAAGGCACCCCCAACCATAGATAGACAAACACCATCCTGTCCACAATGGGTCCAAACATTTCAAAGTCTTCTAAAGACCATCTTAGCAGTGCCAGACAATTAGCATCACACTGCACCCCTGGACTTGTAGCGCATCTACAAGGGATCTTCAGTGAGTGCGTAATCGTTAAGCCATGCGACAGCATCCTCGGTGGTCATATGTAGGTTTCCTGGACCTCAGTGGACAGTGATAAACAATATGCGACATTGCTTGTAGTGTCACAGCTGCAGTGTGGGTTGTCATGAAGACCCCAACGATGGAGGTTTCCTGTCCGGAACCTGATCAGCAAGGCCCACTGATGGTGTAGCAGGGATGTGAAAGCCACTCTCTGGGTTAATCAAGTGAAAATGAGTGAAAAAACAACTGAAGATTCTTATTAATGAAACATGTAGATTTTGTAGCCAATGTTACGTTTCATAATAGATTTTTGGGTTATGCCATGTAATAATCTGACCAACGTTGTGTCTTCAGGGGCCTCCACCAAACAGTCAAACAATTTGTCACGTGTACAAGCGTATCACTCTTCAATTATTCTTTTTCAGCTCACTCCTAAGTGTTAGCTCAATTCTCATAACTAAATGTAGAAATAAAATTTGACATTTTCGACAGTTATATATTAGGTGATCCTGCAAGTTCCTGTATATACAGGAATTCAGAATTATGACTTACTGGAATTTATTCTGATTTCCTGATTATCATTATTGACGTAGTTTTAAGGGAAATATCATATTCAATTACTAAACCTTGGTTGAGAATTGTTCTTCAACTCACCAGTAAGCTGAAACAATAATCTGCACGTTAAAGAATGTGCACCACCTGACAATTTAATTTGCTTGGCTATGCCAAGTGGTGGTGGATCTTAGCAACACAAATTTGGCAAGATATGTATTAATATTAGTGATCAGAATAAAACTTTTAGGCAATACCGAGCCATTGAACGACGCCTGGACAATGGAGACGTTGAGTGGAATGGATGAAAGAGCTGGAGCATTTGGGTGTGAATAAAGAAGTTAAAAAGGTATGTGTCATGTGGGACAAACAACAGCAGTCATTGATTAGGTGGCAATGCATGTGCCTGTAGATTATAGATGAAGAAGATCTCACAGCAACAGTTTTTTTTACATGTTACCTCTGACAATGAAGCTATATATTTCTCTAAGGCGTTAGTACGGTCCTCAGAATTATATGGCTGCAACATGCCCCACCTCCAGCTGGGGCATGTTTTGCATGATAACCTGGAGAAGGTTTTTGTTGATCTCATCCAGCCTGGCCTTGATCTTCTGGAGCATGTTTCCTTGGATAAGCTTCTCGGAATAAAGGTTAAAGAGGCCGCCAGGGCACTGGTTGTAGCGTTTGAGCACTGGGAACAGGTTGTCGAGATAAACGTTTCCAATGAAGAAGTGCTTCAGCTCTTTCTTCTCCAAGTCCTTCAGGAGGCGCCTCAAAAAGCGGTGGATCAGTGATTCCAAGTCTTCTTCTACCCAATGATTTGCAGCACCTCCCTTTGCTAGGACCTGGAGGTCCTCAAGAAGCATATACAAGAGGGTGGTTTTCATGAAGTAGGAGTGGAACTTGGAAGTCAAAGGCGAGTTAGCTCGGATCGTGCTATCGAGGTTTACAATTGACTTGACGGTCGTTAGACATTCTCTGTACTTGGAGCCACAAGGGAGACTGCTATCGACGTGTTGAAGAAAGGCTGCCTCGTACAATGAAAACGACAGCCTCCAAATATGATTTCCTGTTATCTTATGTGCTTTGTACTTGCATTCCTTGGCCACTAAGTAGACCTGTGGGGTCTCTTTAAAGAGCATGGTAAGTGATGCTGCTGGCACTACGTGGTAAAGGATGTGAGTGGCACAATTCATAACTTTAATGGCTGGCACGATGTCTACTGATATCAGTTGATCATATCTGTTTTTGATGGTAAGGCAGGCGGAAGCATTGTTGTGTAAGCAAGTTAGTTTATAGGATTCTGACCATTTTTTTTCAATCTGCACTTTTGCTTCATCAACGAGACGCTGGAACCATTTCTTAAATTTCTGAAAATTAATCACGTTTACACCATGTATAATGTCTGTAAAGTTCTTGGTTGTTTCTGGAATGCTATGACCATCATCAGAAATAACCTTCACAATGCCAAATCCAAGTGCATCTGCATTAAAGTCCTTATCCTCATGACAGAGATGAGTATAAAAGTGGAGACCATTCGGAGGTTCCAGAGGGAAAATAAACTCAAACTCATTTGGAGGAAATACTTTGAGCTTTTCATTAACACTTCCACTTAAGAACATTTGTTGTCCTAGCTTGGGGCAGCCATCATTTTTCGGAAGATTTACCATCGCACAAAAGAGATCGCAAAGGATTGCTTTGATTATCACCATTGCATCTTCAAGTGTCTCCTGGGGTATTCTGACTTTTGTGTTGTAGAAGTGATCAATGAGCAGAGAGGACAATAAGGGTGCCATGCCAATTGGAAGAAACCATAAATGACTCCAGCTGAGGTTTCCAAAAAGATTGTTCAGGCATGTGTCTGGGATGAGGTGACCTTGAGCGTACAACAAGCTTTGAGGAAGTCTCCATTACCTTCATCTTGTGCTGTAGCTGCAGTGTTTGTTGGTCACTTGCATAAAGTTTCAGAGTCTGCTGGTTTAGTTTCTTCGAGTGTTCCTTTGTAACCACGGCGAGTTGTTCCTGATGTTTCAACAAAAGATCCTCATGGGTTCTCCTCAAAGCTTCGCTCATCTCGCGTTGATGAACCCGTGAAAGCTCTTCATTCACGTGTTTAATGATTTCATTTGTTTCACGTTGGAGGCTCTGTGAGAAGTCCACCTGAGTTCTTTTCATGACTTCGGTTATCTTGAGTTGCTGCGTTTGTGAAAGCTGACTGCATGATTTTTTTATAACTTCGGTCATATCTTGCTTATGGGTATGCGACAGCTCCTCACGTTTAAATGCTTCTCTCTGGCGGGCCCTTGAATCTGCATTTAGCTCCCGCTGGTGGGCCTGTATGAGGCTTTCACGGGTTGTGTTTACAGCCTCCTTTATCTCACGCTCATGGGCCTCTGTGAGCACTGAGTGGATTTTCGAGGCTTCATGCTTCATTTCCTCATTGGCATTTATGAGGTTAGTCATGCACACCAACATAATCACTACGACTACAGCCAATAGCACCACCATGAACGCCATCCTCTCCCTGACAAACGTCCAAAAGTCCTGTAAAATAAAACCACGAATATTAGGGGCACTTTCATGATATTGTTTAAACTCTTGTAATATGCATGTCTGGATACAAGACTCAATGTCAGAATCTCCAAATAAATGTTGACTTCATAGTATGGCCTACATACAATCCCTACCATTGGCAAACGGGGATTAAAGTGAATGCTGAGAATACTACACAAATATGAATATATCAATTGAGGCTAACTAAAACTAAACTTCCTGTCTTTCTTACAGCACATTGGCGGGTTGGTTTTCATTATTAATTTCAGCTTTCCAAAAGCATTCCAACCTATTCACGTCCACCTCATTCTTTTATATGTTTTTATTTTATTTAAGTCTGCCTTCAACAGCTGTCCCAGGTACACGCCTGCTGTGTTTACAGTTGTGTCATTTAACAGATATCTCCAATTGTTTTGCGAACTTTGTATATAACCTCTGTTTTCCTCATTTATCATGAGCCCGACATTGCATCTTTTTTTAGTTCTGCTAACGTTTACTTCGGTTAATTCCCATTGGACCTTATAATTACTATGTCTTCAGACAATCTAAGAAGGTTAATGGTTTCTCCATTACTATGTATTAGTTTGATTCTCCAATCACATTTTTATATATATGTAAAAAAATATCTCCCGATATACACCCAGGTCTAAATTGGGACACAATTTCAGGAGTTATACATGTTTTACTCATAACAGCACTTGAGCAACACAAATTCTAAAAACAGTGCAAATCGAGTGATGAAGTAACATTTTCATGTGAAAATTGTCGTAACTTTAAGTACTTTTAAAAGTTCAAAAAGTGGTTGTGTATCTTTTGTGTGACCTTGCCTGTGTGAAGACTGAATCTCTGACACTGTTGTCCAAATGTCACGACTGCCTCTGTAAAGGAGAAATTCCCAGCAGCTTTATTTATTTCCAAAACATCTCATATGCTAAACAATGCAGTTGTATAAATTAGGCTGCACGGAATTAAAGAGTAAACTAAACACACAACTGTACCGTGCGACCGAGCTCCTGAAAGTCATGATTATCTCAAACCCAAAGGCAGGAGTGTACTACTTGTGCAAATAAATTGCTGGTGTTATGTAAGACCCTCATGAATAGGTGCTACATTCTTTCTGGCACTGAAGCTGCAATATTTAAACATTTCAAATAATCTATTGGTGTACGATTATTCATATGGCAGTCGCCAACGCACAAACTGCACACATGTGATCTCCAAGTGCCAGCCAGAAAAAAAACTATGATTTTAGCTTTAGTTTTATTGGCGCGACGTGACCCTTCCATCTTCAGTGTTTTTAATCTCTGAGCTAGGCGTCCCCTGGGATTTAGAAGGCTTCCCAGCCTCCAGAGGATTCAAGCCGAGGTTGACTTCATGAAGAGCCAGGAAAGGAGGCTGAGACTGGACCTGGAGATGGTGGCCCCTGGGCTAGAGAGGAACATTCTAGAACTGCTCCTGGAGGGGGGCTAAAAGCAGGCTAGAACCTGCTGAGGTTTCCACAAACAGTGGCCAGGTCCCTTCAAGTGGCCGAGACAAGAGACAGCAAAAGAAGGAAAGCGAATATCGTGATCCTGATGACCTATGAGGAAATGGAGCTGGTGGTGACATCCGTGTTTTTACGTGTGTAATGGGTTTCTACGGAGGCACACACTTGAACTTGAAGGTAACACGTTTATTTCACAACCCCAACAGGGTAACTACATAACGTAACAACGGTTAACTATACCACGAAGGGGGAACTACAGAACTGGGTCCGTCAGCCAACACCCTGCCTGACCCATGATGCTGAACGTAATGACCGAAGACCGAGGATCGAAGAGCCGTAGCACCGACGGGTTCCATTCCAGCAGACAGCCGCGATTGCTCTCGGGACCTCCCTTTTATGCTCCCGAGCATGGCCTCGCTTCGCCTTTGGCCACGCCCCATTCTGGATCTCACCAGAAGGTTCTCGACCGAGCATCACGTGTCTCTCAAGCCACCCTTTGGGCCCCCTCGCTACCCTGTCCCGGTCACGTGCCCTCTCGGGTTCACCCAGACTGTCATGTCCTGACTTGTCCTCTCTCTGAGCATCACCTACTCTGGTGCCAGAGAGAGGCTTAAGACGCACAGTTCCACTCATGTGAAAGTAGCTGGCGCTAAACGCCATAGTGACTCCATTTAATATTCTTTAGGTCTTTCGGTAAAGTCACGTAGATAGAGGTTATATAGGTAAGAGAGGGGGGAGGGGCAAGGGAGGGGGGTTAGGGGGAGGGGAGCATTGCGTAGACGCTAGGAGAGGGACGTGAAGCTGGATGGGGGGAAGTGGGCGGGGCTGGCAGTAGGAGGCTGAGAGAGCTGGGGATGCGCGGGGGGGGGGGTGCAACAACAACGCCACTGCAGCAACAATGCCAATGAAGCCAACAATGCCAATGCAGCAGCAATGCCAAACGCTGGGAATGCAATTAACTCGGCAAAAAAGACTAGTGCCCTGCAAATATTATGGAACAACCATAAAGCATTTAAGGGTTTACCTGGTTAATAACATCCTTCCAATGATTGCTCAATTTGTATCCATCTTCTCGGTTGAAGTTATGTCTATATTTATATATGTCTGGATGGATTCATGAACAAACCATTGATAGTAGCCGGAAGGTTTGCAGAGCACCTTGGTCTCGGAAAAAACTATATCATGAGAGCCCACAGCGTTATAGCAATGGTCAGCTATGGCGCAGGTATTAGTCCTGCTGTGTTTCAGATCTGCCCTGTGCTCGCGAACACGGTTCGAGACATGTCGTTTCGTTTCCCCAATGTAACAATCACCACAGGTGCAACTTAGTTTGTAGACTGCAGGATATTGCATGTCAGGAACGACATCCTTCACAGATGGGATTAGATCACGGATTTTGTGTACTGTACTTAATCGGACCAGGATCTTGTGTTTGTTTAAGATTTTGTAAATCTTTTTGGTAACGCCTGCTATGTATGGTAACGTGATGGTTTTCATCGGTGTCTCAGGGGGTTGTTTCTCCATGGTTGGAGAAACAGCTTTGCGGATAATGCGGTCCGAATATCCATTCATCTTAAGGGCCTGGTGTACGTGTTCCAGTTCAGTGGCTAGGTGGTGTTGGTCAGACATGCAGTGGGCCCTATGGTGTAGTGTTTTGATGAGGGAATATGTGTGGGTGGCTTTCCTGTAGACAGAGTGTCCCAAAGAGCCATCAGGTCTCTTCTAAAACAAAACATCCAGGAATGGTAGCTTACCATCCTTTTTCACTTCCATGGTGAATTTGATGGATGGGTGTATGGAATTAATGTGGTTGTGAAATTGGTTCAATGCTGGCAGGCCATGTGGCCAAATGACGAAAGTGTCATCCACATATCTCTTCCACAAGGAAGGACGTAGGGTGGATGTCTGGATGGCATCTGTTTCAAATTTCTCCATGTAAACATTCGCTATCCCTGGTGATAAGGAGGAACCTATGGGGGTACCTTCATTTTGTTTGTAGAAAGTACCATTCCAGGTGAAGTAAGTGTTGGTAAGGCAGTGCCTAACCAGAGTAGGAACATCAGGGTTCAGTCCATGTTGGACTAAATCTTCAATTATTGCTAAGGTGTCAGGCACAGGAACCTTGGTGAACAGAGAAACCACATCAAAACTGATGAGAAAATCATCTGGGGACAGTGAAATGCCCTTGATTCGAGAGACCAAGTGAGCTGAGTTATGTACTGCTGAGGTAGTCTTGCCAGTGAATGGAAGCAAGGTATCAAACAGATACCTTGCTTCTGTGTATTTGTTATACTTGTTGGGCCTCCCCTAGGTCGACTCGGCCTCAAATGAGTACCTGGTGCGATGTGTAAACATTGCCACTGGGGAGACAAAGACGGCCGGGCGTAGTGCTGGCCACCCAACCCCTCGAGTGCCGTGCCTGCCTTCGTAGGTGCTCGCTAACAGCATTTGCCTCAACAGTCTGTTAAGGCCAAGGCCCTAATTATAATATATATTGGGGGGACACGCCCCCCCCCAATATTCAAATATGCTCAAAATGCCCCCCCCCCCGATATATTGCTATATTTAAAAAAGTGCTATGCTATGTAAATAAAAACAACAATTTGATAAACCTTGGCCACAATATCTGGACTTGTCTTCATATAAATCAATGCATAGATTTCTGTTTATATGATTGTGGTTATGGTTGTACTTTATAAATCCATAATCTCTGCCATTACATACAATGAAACAAAAAATGGTAAAAACAGAGCAATGTAATACAATACACTATTAGACATTATTGTCAAAAATAAATAAAAGTCCATCCCATGTGTTAGTGAATTTTTGTTATATTTTAGGCAGGAAATTGAGTTTTCAAATGTAGATAGTTTTCTGGGTTGGGACCCCCAGACACCCTGGAAGATTTGGTCCCCCCCAATGTTGACTCCATAGCTACGGCCTTGGTTAAGGCTATATGGAGATCTTTGTGGAGCAAGTTGGACTTGCGTATTGCACTTGACCGGTTCAGATAATCGTCACTGGTGTTGGCCGTGAGCAGGAAATCTAACTCGAGTCGCCGGGTTCGTAGCGGAGCGCGCTAGCCACTACACTACCGCTCCACATCCCCCTGTACCACACACATATGCAAAAATACTGTACAGGTATACACAACAAACACTTATAGTCGTAGTTACAAACTAATTACGTTGAGAATTAAGAAAGCACTCTTACCTGGATTATTATGCTGGTGCTGCGATTGTTGCCGATGGTTCGGTCAAGGCAAAGCGGTCGCTGGCCCTGGCAACGCGAACAGGAACTGGTGACAGAAGAGAACCGAAAACAGAAAGCATCACATGGGGGTGTCTGAAGAGTTTGTATTAGACTTGAGGTCATTGCTTTACATATTTATTGTAGACATTCATAACAAAAGAGGAAAACAATTGATCATCCAATGTGAAACACATCATCGCACAGCTAAATTGGCCACACAGTGGCATCTCAACAGGGCCCTCAAAGTGTAAATAGCAGGGCTGTAGTAGTTCCCCTTAATTAAACAGGAGGTTAAAGAGTCCCACTGCACATGACATATTTCCTCTTTTGCAAGGGCGACCCGGGTAGCATCACTCAAAATATATAATCAGCGTCATGGAGAATACAACGAGCATACTAAATAGCAACGTCTCATTCACATATTTACGTTCCTCCGTATAATACAAATATTGTTACATCAAGCCATGTAGACTACACACAATTTTGCTAAACATTTTGAATTAAACAATCTAGCTTAAATGTAACCTTGGCTTAATACACATTTAAATGCACAAATAAATGAAAATGAACCCGATGACCACAGCACTGCACCAAGGGGGTGCAGATTGAACTCCCTGATCGCACTTCGCTTGCTGTGCCGCACGCGGGCGAGGCCTTCAGTCGCAGCGCTTCTGCTGGAGGTCGCCACTTGTCGTCGTCTTCACAGCTCCTCGATCATTCGCTGTACGCCGTTAACGTTATCCGTGGATATAAACAAAAGCGCTGATCATTCTGAATGCGTAACCGCCGTTGTTGGTTCGGTTTTAAATGCTCGAGGCTTCCTGGTGTCTGCCTCCACGTCACCTGAAGTTACCCAACAGTGCTCAGACTCGCCCAGCTGGGTCTCCCGGTTTGACCAATTCGCATTGTTGACTCAACGCTCACTTCCCTGCACAGTCACACACACACACTGATGAGCCTGTAATAACGGGCAGGCACGCACAGCTCAGAGTCAAAGCGATGTCCTGCTTAGATGGGCATTGCGAGACGATGCTTATCTTCCATTTACATCTCTGAGCCAGAGGCGGAAATTCCACGTTCATATGGTGGGAGGGCGAATCAATCCATAGGAAATCCACTGTTGACTACCCTATGAAGTGGTACTGACTTTCTCAACCCGGATGAATGATGGGCTTGAGTAATCCCTCAACATCACAGCACAGTATGGTTTACAGATTGTAATATTTTCTGCGTCACGGACTTTACTGCTAAGAGCTTTCAAATGCGCTTATGCACACGAATGTATGCAACTGGTAGTGGTTGTGTTAACCACAGACTACTCCACGCCAGCTCGCCGAGTATGGACGCATGCATTTTAAGCGCCACATTAAAATACATTTGAATCATGTAAGTTATTGCCTGTGGAGGACAAAACGCACTTGATTAAGTAGAAACCAACAACAACAGTTTGCAGCTGTTGGAAACTTACACGTATTTCCAGAGGGTTGCCGTTAGTGTATATTTGGAGTTTGCATGTGGTCACGTGGATATTTTTTCTCCGGGTCCTCCGGGTTTCCTCTCCACATTTATGAACATGCATTGAGATTATTTAGATAATTTTGCTGCAGTAAATTTCCACTTAATAAGCCACTTTGTCGAGCTATCATTTGTGGCCAGGTTGCTTCTGAATCCTTCACTGAGCTTTGCCTGATAGGAGTGTTGTTGTAAGATCCTGACCCGCCTCTACTGGATATCTGTGGAAAAGAGCTTCATAGCTCATCAGATTCCTCCAGTATAAATAATATGATTTGAGTTGATTTGTGACAAGGATGATCCCGTTTCTTGGCTATTTAACGAGGGAGATCGGGGTGCGTGAGCACAGCAACAACAAAACAAACACATCAACATTGCAGAGAGCGAGTCCCAGGGTCCTTGAGCGAAATTGCACAGCCAACAGATAAGGGGGTGTAGCGGTCGGACTTAAAACGCGCAAATTAAAAATAAACGGACTCGGCGACCCGCGTTCAATTCCCGGTCATGGCCAACGTCGGTGACGAATATCTGACCTGGCCCTGGGGCTTCCCTAGATTGCCTCAGCCCTTCATGACTACCTGGTGTCGTGTATATATCAACACTGGGGAGACAAAGGCGGCCAGGCGTGATGCTGGCCAACCACCCCCTCACGTGTCGTATCAGCCTTCGTCAGTGCTTGCAAACAGAATCATAGACTGGAGGAATCCGATGAGCTATGGAGCTCTTCTTGACAGATGTCCAGGAACAGAACTTGCCCCAAAAGCTTGTTTAGGATTTAGGGAGGATCTTTGTTTTAAAATAGATATCGTAGGCAAACACTGAGCATTGTTTGTATTGACAGGAGACAAGTACAATTGTTGGGAACCAATGTTTGAGTTTTAATATGGCTTAATAAGGCACGATGACAATACAATGATTATTGTGTGAACTAAAGTTTGTATAAAAAGGTACAAAAAAAACTAAATTAACATCCACTCTTAAAATAAAAATCATGCAGAATATTAGACATTAAATGTACAATTTTAAATTGTATACAATTCAAATTCAACAAAATACCAATTTGACTCCAACACAGAGGTATATTACTGTATTACATATAAACTTTACAATTGCACCTTTGGCAACCACAAGGTTAAAATATAGACGTGATACTCATGCTAGGGTACAATGCCAATTTTTTCAACTACATGCTCAACGACTACTGCAGCAAGGTGGTTTCAGCACTCAACAAGCAGGACATTGGGAGTTGAAACCTGCCAGATTCACTCGCCCCATCATCCCTCTGGGGTTGATTATTTCGTACCACTTTGTGGGAAGTAAAAAATTGTCGTCCTATGGAGAATGGGTCTCCACCAAATGTCATCTCCACTGCCGATTCGGGACCCCAGTGGAGACGAGCCCCACCCAATGCTTGCTTGAGCAGAGTGACGCTGACTCGACATTTTAAAAAGCAAGTGGGGTTGGGAACGAATGCCACATTTAGGTGCGGTCCGTGCAAATAGCCGACATTTAAACGTCACTCATTCCAGCATACCGGTGACGTGGCCCATTGCACCACCCTGCTGACATTTGAAAAGTTCGCCAGAATAATCTGATGTATTAATGATAAAACTAAAGGTGGTGTTTCTCAGTGGTAGTGTTATTAAAATCCTGGTCATTCAACATATGTACAGTATTCGTTTATGCTAACATGGTTGTCGATGGTTTCATGAGCAGAGGTTGGCAGTGCTCACTCTGCACCTCTCCATTTGGAATTGCCCAGCCCATGAAGATGCCTACGAATGTTACTGAAGGTACCGAAAGCAGAATTGATGGTGAGCTTGGAGAGTTGTAGGAATATCAACCTCTGGCAATTCCACATACACTACAGTATAATTTGCTATCGCAAACATCTCTTTAAAAAAATTTCACTCCAGTCAACACAACATACAAAATGTGTTTTTTGTCTCCTACACACTCAAGTCAACATTTTTCGATTAAATGTTTTGCAAACAAGTAAACTACATAACATGAACTTGTAACGCTACGCGGTTTTTGCTAAATATCAGAGAACAGCTCAGAGGTGTAAGGAATCATGGAAAAGTGGGAAAGGTGGCCGTGTGGTGAGCCGCCCCCAACTTCTTCCCCGACCTGTGCAGTCCTCTATTTAAGATGGTATTATCAGCCAATTAATGAGTGTTACACGTGGGAGGAATCTGGAATTCCTGGAACAAAACCTCACGCCCGCGAGAGAGAAACACTATCGCATACAAAAATGACAAGAGGGCCTACAATTCCTGCACTGCCTTCAGGCAAGCCAAGGTTATGGCACCTGGACGTGCACGAGGAGGTTCACAGCTTTTTGTGTGATCCATCAACCCTCAGTCAAAGTGCCGGGTCACAGGCACGCATAGCCACCAGCGCCTAGCAAGCGTATGAAGTCATGGGTACAGATCAAGCAGTAAGTCTTCCGCACTGCCACGTACATCTTGGGAATTAGCTCGGCGTTCCTGTTCCCCTAACACAACCCTTGCACCACGGAAGGCTCCTGTGTGTCCTGGGCCTCGCCTGCAGGAAAGCAGTTTGACGAACCACAGCTCCAATCGCAACCTCAAAGCCAAAGGGAATTCCAGCCACGTGAGGACTTAGAGTCCTCAACGTGGACACAAGGCATGTATTGAAAACACTGGGCTGCAGTCCAAACATACATTTATAGCTATGCTTGTTTACCTAGAAAAGCTTGAGTCTATAGACTCTTTTTCAGGATTCTGCCAAGTTTTTGCAAGTAGAGGAACAGTTTTATCAACAGCTAGGCTAAATATCATTCCGACGAGGGGTCACCTATCTCCTACATGTATGGTGCGTGATAAATCACGCATCAGTGTACTAATTCACATTTTTTATGGAGTATGCATGTAACTTCAACTGACAACCAACCATATTTTGTTATTTAAAAAAGGTAGTGCTTGTATAAATTTGCATTGCAGAATGTTCAAAGTTTCTGGACTTTATCTAAAAATACTGCCACCTTTATACAAATATATTAAGAATCAAAAATGTATTACAACAATCCCAAATTGATTTATCCACCTAAAGCAGTGAATGGTGAGTGCTGTTTCACACTTGCAATTGGCAAGCTTAATTTTTTGCAAGTACTGTACTGCAATTTGGTTATATTATAGAAAGAACCTCTCAGGATGTTTATAGTGCAACATCAGAGCTGTTAAAACATATGAACACCAAGATACGTTTGATCTCGGCTCTGGTTTGTTTCCTCGAAGGAATTCCTTGAGGCCACGGCCATAACCCTCCGACTGGTTGTCATAGGGAGAAGCCGGTACATTTACGAAATTTGCTTTAAGTGCTGGAAAACCTGAACAGAAATGTAATGACGATGAACGTTCATATTTAATGCCCATGCATTCTTCAGTCCTACCTGCCCAAACTGTATTGCAATGAGCACACATCTTCACAGCTGGATGCTCCCAGCTGAGACAATTCTGTTTTAATGGCCTTACTTGCACACCCGATGCCTGGCTTTGACAACCAGCTCAGGTGGCCTGGAGCAGGGTGCGGTTTAATTCATAGAAGTGGGATCTCGTCAAGTGCAGCCTCTGGACCCAGTTGCTACTGCCAAGCTATGTTTCCACTGTCACTGGCGGTCAGATGTTTTTGTCCCAGGAATGGCCTAGCTCTAGGGTTAATAGCATGATCTGGGTCCATGTCAGTATGACAATATTTATTTATACTGGAGGAATCCAATGAACTATAAAGCTCTTTTTCGCAGATGTCCAGTAGTACCCGTGCTCCACGACGCTCTGTGGTCTCGGCCCATTCCTCATCGGCCCCCCTCGCTTCTTCATCACCCTCCGTTGACAGGGAATAAGGGATTGGGAAAAAAATCGACCAAAAAATTTGATATACTATATAACACAGGCCCGTGTTTATTAACATTATTGAGTAAATAAATACTCAATGTATTACTTTACTGATGATTCATAGTTGATTTTTGGGGAAGGCCATGTAATGATCTGGCCAAATTTGTGTCGTCAAGATCATTCACCACCTAATGCAGCCAAATTAAATTGCGAGAATCATTCTTAAAATTACCAATGAGCTAAAACAACAATTGGCACGTTAAACGCTTGTACACGTGACATTTTCTTTGGCCGTATCAGGTCATGCAGGGTCTTAACGACATAAATATTGCCGGAAAAGTACGTGGCTAACCCAAAAATCAACTACGGATCATATTGGCTGTAAAAAACCTATATGTTAAGTTTACTTTAGTGATGTCCTTGAAGCGGAACTAACCGAGGGGAGTCATCCAGTGTGCGTCCAATTTCCGCATTACTCCCACTGTGGCAGGAGTTACTCTGGGCTCGGCACGGGTGAAGCGTGGAGCGCGTGGAGCGCGTGGAGCGCACGGAGACCTGGGTGGGCCTGGCAGCACCGCTCTGGGAGTGTGGGTATGTGGGGTGAGCCCACTTTGAGAAGTGAGATGCAGCACTTCAGAGTGATCCCCAGTTCCAGGGCTGACTTCATAGTGACATAGTTCACAGGTCACTGCGGCATGGAGATCGTGGGTGGTGGTAAAATCGCCACCTCCTCCGGTCACCGGACCGTGTTTAAAGCAACACGAGACCTGATCACAACACAATATTGTAAGAGAATTTTGTATTTTAGAAACAGTAGGTGAAAACACTATTACATTCAATTTTGTAGAAAAAGAAACATTTTAGATCACCAAATATAGATGTTTCCTGACCACTGGCCCTGCTCAGCAAAGGTGCACAGTGGGGGTGGCTCGCTGGCTCACAAGGTGACCAGGAGGGAGTGTGGGCAGGGAGGGGCAATGTGGATGAGTGGACGGAGAGGCACAAAGGCCCCACAGTTCATAGCAACAAGGGTTGGCCCTGCCTGTACCCTATTTGGTCTCCTGTTTGGAACAGCTTTATGCCGCTTTAAATAGTTCAAGAAATGTACCTGGGTTGAGCGTCACGGACTGACGCAAGTGTGCAGCTTTGTTCATGAGAAGAAGGATTGTCACAATCACGATCAAGTGGCATCACTGCTTTGTGGCTGCACCACTGCACTGACATCACTGGAGTGCTTTTTGAAATACATTTATGTTTTGTAATTGACAACAGTTTACACCGTTGTCAATTCGTTGCAATAAAATGCAAACCACATCTCAAGACGCTGTACAAATTAGTTGGGCATGTATCATAGGGAACGAGGGTGTGGATATATATAGTATACATTTTTGCCTAGAATAGAGATTCAGTTCTGGGCAGACAAGAAGAGAAAGCCAGCAATATGGAGGGCTGGCTAAGTACAGTGCGAAAGAAGTTCAACATACAGACCACAGGGGCAGCAGAGGAGAAGGAGCGACTTGATAATGTGCGAGGGTTGACGGGGGGCTTCAAGAGAACTTCGTAGTTGCTGGATTGGAGAGCACGAGAAGGGAAGAGAGAGATGACATGAGAGACAGGTGGGGGCGAGTCTTCGAAGGATTTTTACAAGGGTTATGGTGATCTTGAAGTTGCTCTGGGATTGCATTGGGAGCCAATGGAGGAAGTGAAGCATTGGGTTGATGTAGGTGTTGCGTGTATCTGCAAGGCAGAAGTTTGCGTCTTAGGTTGCGTATGCCTTTTAATGGCGGCTGTGTTGGTTCAGGGTCAGTAGGCCAGCACTTTCCAGCCTGGGGTGCTGAAGCGGCAGGCCAGGTGCAGGGAGGGCGCCGGCTGTCCGAGCGGCCAGTCCACCAGCACCTCCCGGCGGCCACAGCCGATGGCGACGCGCAGCTTGCAGGGCGCGACACGCTCGCTGTCGAACGTTACGGCCGATCCAGTCGTCAGCGGCGGAAGCTGGTTAATCATCTCCCTGCCGTTGACAAACACCGCTCCTGTGACCGGCACAGAACGTTATCAGTGGACTTATCAGTAGACGCAGAGGTACGGCAAATACAATTTGGAATTATACATCGTTGACACGAGACTACATCTGAAGACACGGTATAATAAAGCAAGGCAATTGAAGCTTGGGAACTGAAGTCAGAATTCTACATTTCCATGGTGACGACAAGCCTCTCTATAAGGAAGACCATTGTCGACATGACGAAATGGTACTGACTTTATCTACACTTGCAGGCTAAGTCGACCCCTGACAACACTGTGTAACAATTTTTTTTTGTTCCTGGGTATTAAGTGTTATTTCCTAATTGCTTCTGCCTCAAAAGTACAGAAAATGGCTATTATTCCCCACAAACTTTGCTTTTGTGACCAGGACAGTGATATTTTAAATTTACATATTTTCCAGAATATTCCAGATGGATTCAGTGCTGAGTAAACTTGGAGTAACTTCTAGAACATTCTAGAACTTTCCAGTAATAGTAGTATAAATACAGGGGCCTTAAGCCCACCAGTTCAGTTTAGCTGCCTAAGTGGATACATATCTGCATTTTTCTGAGATGGCATCAAGAGGTTGCAAGTTTCCGGCAGATGCATTTTGCTATGTCTGCGGCCAATTTATCAAGACAAGAGGGAAAAAGTACTCTGTGGAAGCATCTGCTCAGATGTGCGAGGCCAACAAGGCATATTTCGGCATGCCTGTTGGGGATCAAGACAAACCCTGGGCACCTCATTTCACCTGCGAGCAATGCAAAAAAACTCTGGAAGGTAAGATGGACAATTGTTGCTCGGAATTTTGTTATACAATTTATTTTAAAAATTTAAATTGTAAGTTTTTAATTTTTAAATGTTTTATAATTTTCAATGTTATTGAAAAAATATATCATGTATGAAAAATGTTGCGAGAATCTCTGACACATTAGTCATGGGTAAAATAAATTTATTTTTGTAGGATGGTACAGAGGGGAAAAGAGAGCCATGAAGTTCACTATCCCAAGAATTTGTCGGGAACCCACTAACCACTCTTCCAAACGTCGGACTGGCAACAATGCACCTGCTATCACGTATCCGGACCTTCCTTTATCCATCGGCCCAGTGCCACACTGCCATGAGCTCCCCGTACACACTCCTCCGGAGAGAGAGCAGCCGTCATTAGAAGAGAGCAGCATGTCAGAGAGCGAGGAAAACATACATCCAGATGACAATTTCAGAGGTGGAGCTGAGGAGAGAAACCCATACTACCAACCAAAAAGAGCTCAACGACTTGATCAGAGATCTTGGTCTCACCAAGTCCAATGCCGAGCTTTTGACGCCTAGGCTCAAGCAGTGGAACTTGTTGGATGAAAGTGTGCAAGTCACAGGTCAGAGGAAGCGTCAGAAAACTTTTTGCAACTTCTTCACCCGTCAAGATGGGCTCTGCTTCTACCACAATGTGACCAGTCTGTTCGAGGCAATCGGAATCGCCTGTAACCAGAATGAGTGGTGCCTCTTCATTGACAGCTCATCCAGGAGCCTCAAAGCCGTGCTGCTCCATAATGGTAACAAGTACCCGTCTCTTCCCCTGGCCCACTCGGTGCACCTCAAAGAGGATTGCAACAGCATCAAGACCTTGCTGGATGCCTTAAAATATGATGAGTACGGCTGGGAGGTTATCGGATACTTCTAAATGGTGGCATTCCTGATGGGTCTCCAAGGCGATTTTACCAGTTTCCCTGCTATCTTTGCCTTTGGGACAGCAGGACACCAAGGCGCACTACCACAGGCGGGACTGGCCACAGCGGACCGAGTTCTCTGTGGGGAGGAAAAACGTCAAGTGGGAGCCACTGGTGGACCCCCGGCAGGTGCTGATGCCACCACTGCACATCAAATTGGGCCTTATGAAACAATTTGTCAAGACTATAGATAAGAAGTCGGCAGGCTTCTAGTACCTTCAAGACTTCTTCCCTAAGCTGTCTGAGACAAAGGTCAAAGCAGGTGTCTTCATCGGACCACAGATAAAGAAGATCCTGGAGTGCAATTAATTCCCCAAGAAGCTCACTCGTAAGGAGAAAGCAGCGTGGAACAGCTTTGTCGCAGTGGTTCGTGGCTTCCTGGGCAATCACAAGGTCGAAAACGATGTGAAGAACTGCGGCACAATGGGCTGTAGGATGTCCCTCAAAGTCCATATCCTTGATGCTAATCTTGATAAATTCAAGGAGAACATGGGAGCATACTCGGAGGAGCAAGGTGAGCGCTTCCACCAGGATATACTGGACTTTGAACGCCGCTACCAAGGACAGTATAACGAGAACATGATGGGAGACGACATTTGGAGGCTGATTCGTGAAAGTGATTTACAGTATAATCGTAAATCTCGAAAAACTACTCACTTGTAAATCTTTTGTAGTTATTTTTGTATCACTTTAGTATAAATACATGTTAATTGTGATTTATATGTTGTGAACAAAAATAAACAAATTAGCCCGTTTCTCATTGAAAATAGGTAAATTTACAAATATCACTGTCCTGGTCACAAAAGCAAAGTTTGTGCGGAATAATAGCCATTTTCTATACTTTTTAGGCATAAGCAATTACGAAATAACACTTATTACCCAGGAACAGAGTGCAATCTGCTTCACCCATCCAGACTTATCCTCGTCGATAGGGTGTCGCCCTCTAGGGGAAGGTTGTTGGCGTCGCACAAACCGTTGGTGGCGATGCAGATAGCCCCGTCCCTCTGCAGGGAGTCCAGATCGCTGGGGGAGCCGACGCTCAGCCCCACACCGTCGCGCTGGTCTGTGGCTCCCACCGCCTCAATTCTAAACAGCAGTAGCAGTACCCATGTAAGTAACTATGATATCACCCCAGCACATGTGCCAGGCTAGGTGCACTCGAGTATTTTGAAGTTAAAAGATGTTTGGCAATTAGAGGATGACATGGCTATGATGAAAAAGAAAAATAGGCTTCACCCATTCTTGATACTGGCAAAAGGTCCCATAGATATAAATGCTCAGCCCGAGCTATGAATACACTGATACATGCATTGCCTTTTGGCGTTCTCTGGTCCAACACTGGTGAGACAAGGCCATAAAGAAGACTGTCTCTGGTGGAGGCCAATCAGTTTCAAAGACAATGCATATATTACCAGAGCATGTTTGTTCGCATGTTTTGCCACAAGTATGTGTGATTAATACAGACTTGATGCCTTGCACTAGGTATCTATTTGGTGTTTGAACATCTCAACACCTCCTGATTTATTGCCAGAAAGAGTAAAAGCCAATTCTTATTTTTTCATCATTTTGATACTGGCAAAAAAATGTCCCATAGAGGCTATATTTGTATTTGCAGCGCGCATGTGCGGCCCTCACCGGAACGTGGCGGTCTCCCCGCAGGTGAGGCTGGCCTCCCTCGTGTAGAGCACTGGGCTCGCGTCTGCAGCGCATGTCCTCAGCGCCATGTTGCGCCGGCTGCTCAGGCTGAAGCCGTCATTGCCCTGCGTCCACTCTGGTGACGAGAAAGGCAGTGGAGTCTTGAGGCTCGCTTTCGCCAACGCCATGCCGTAGGGTGATTGGAGTGACGCAGGTCTTCACCGCTCGCACGTCTAACAAGCCCTGGTTCCAGCCTGGTGGACCGCGGATCCTAACGAAACTCTGGGTCACCCACGCAGTGCAGTTTCATGAAGGATTGTAATACAGGGAGGAACAATGTTCCACACTGCCCACCAGGGATTATTTAGCTGTCTGTCTGTCTGACTGTCTGTTTGTCTGTCGTACATAATATATAATACACACAGCTCTTTGATTGGTGGAGACCTTACAAACAGCTCTTTGATTGGTGGAGACCTACTGCCGGGTACGGAGAGGGGAGGTGCCTAAGGGAGGAGGGTCAGGGGAGGGGCCTAAGGAAGGGGGGAGTCAGGTAAACAGCTCTTTGATTGGTGGAGACCTACTGCCGGGTACGGAGAGGGGAGGTGCCTAAGGGAGGAGGGTCAGGGGAGGGGCCTAAGGAAGGGGGGAGTCAGGAGAGGAGCCTGAGGGGGGGGGGGGGTCAGGGGAGGGGCCTGAGGGGGGGGTCAGCGGAGGGGCCTGAGGGAGGGGGGGTCAGGGGAGGGGCTTAAGGATATGGGGGGGGGGGGTGGTCAGGGGAGGGGCCTAAGGGAAATGGGGTCAGGGGAAGGGCCTAAGGGGGGAGGGGCCTAAGGGAGGGGGGGGGCGATAGTTAAGGGGCTGTCTGCCTGGCTACCTAAAGTCAAGTTATCTTGTATACATACAGGTAGGAACAACAGGTTCCACACTGCCCACCAGGGATTATTTGTCTGTCTGTCGTGCACGAATGCGCTGTCCAACCAAGTTCCTACCTGCCCACTCCGAAGGAACGTGTTTTCTAAAAATCAGATATCACTCGACCGTAGTTGATTCTCAATCACAAGTAACATCAGTGGTGAGTGATATCCAAAATGATCCTGTGCCCTCCACCCCCTCTCACCAAGTTATAGTGACCATTATGGTAAAGTATGATAAAACAACAGCCATGTGCACGATTATTCTTCAGTGTTTGGGCCGCATCTTCGCGCAGTGCGGTGCCGCTGCCGGCGTCCTGCGCTCCGTACCGTAAGGGTGGAGGTGAGTTCTGCCCATCAGTGGAACGCTCCAGGGGCTCCACGCAACCTTGGGCCCATGGCGTGTGCACACGCGGAACGTCACGTGGACGCCGGCGTCCACGGGCGCCAGCGCGAACTCGCGCTCGGGCCCCGTGTACGCATCCGTGAAGGTCGGCGCAGGGCCGCCACTGCCCTCGTCGCCGTCCAGCGTGGCCCGACCGCGGCAAAACTGCAGGCGGTACTGCACCGACGCCGTGGCGTCCTCCAGCTGCGTGGGGAGGACAGGAGAGGCGGCGTCGTCAAAAGGTCGCCCGTCCGTCCGCTGCTGGATGAAGGCCTTCCCACAAACTCTTGCCATCTCTCATGATCCCGCGATGCAAGAAAGCGCCTCGCACTTGCGCAAGAGCCAACTTCATCGTTCCGTGGACGTAATTCCTGGCTCATTTAGCTGCTGTTGTCGATACTGTCAACTGCCAGCCATCGTCCCCTCTGGTGACGTGCCCTGCCCAAGCCCACAGATATTTCTTCAGTCAAAATGTATGTTTGTATCCTGTATATATTCTAGAATCCACGTGTACCCCTTTCTGTATCTCATTGTTATTCCAAGCCTGTATCTCTCCATGTTTCTTTGCACACTTTTTAGTTTCTGTTTAATTTCCATCGTTAATATCCGTATTTTGGATCCATGTCATAGCAGGCAGTGCTCATTAATTAAAAACGTTCCTTTATGCATTTAAACTATCAAGCTCAGTTTTCCTGAGAACTCCAATCTTCTCTTGTCATCATTTAGATTCTGGTCCACAATTTTAATATCTTTCACACACACAGACATGTCACTTTTATTAATCTGTAATTCACAGGCACGTGGTTGGGTTCTAAAAGTCGAACCTATCAGGAACCCTGACAACACCCAGCTTATGAGGCACCAGCACAAGTCCTGCAACGGCTGAACAGGCAGAGGTGGATACTTGCTTCCTCCATGGGTGTGAAGGCGGGTTAGGGCTGCCTTGCCAATGGGGCCAGGACCCTGCTCTGTCAAGATGTCTGGCGTGCAACGGCAACCCCACGTTAAAAGAAATCACGTGTGGGCCCCTTCCAAAGAAGGTTGGAGCGGTGGCGCAGTGCAGGAGACACTGGTTCCTGCGTGACACGCTAACCACGCTCACCTCGCTCCAGCGCACAAGCACGGCGCCAGGGCGCGCACGCAGCTCCGAGATCTGCACGGGTGCGTGCGTCGCCAGCGAGCCGTGCTCCGCCACGCGACCAGACAGCACCCGCAATAGAGACGGATCCAGCTGCGCCGACAGGCACGGCACATCCACGAGCAACGGCACCTCCGGCAAGCTGGCAACCAAAGATAAAGACAAAGATCCCCCGTATACTCTTAACAGACTGTTGGGCAAGTGCTGTTCGCGGCACGTCACACAGTGGGGTGGGTGGCCAACGCCACACCAGGTACTAATTTGAGGCCGTGTCCACCTAGGGTAGAGCCAGGACCGGTTCAGATAATAGTCACTGGTGTTGACCATGAGCGGGAATGAACTCAGATCGCCATGTACGTAGCGCAGTGCGCTAAGTCCTACACTACCGCTCCCAACAAGAAGAGCATCATCAGGTGCAACATTATCGAAAATTGCCCACTGCATATTCATGTGACAGCGCAGTCACGTGATTGTGGTGCACGAACCTACAACTCATTGATGTGCGTTACTAATGTCAATGGTTCTTCCACACGCAATAATCATGCGAAGTTCGGTGAAATGATGTTCAGTGTTGAGTTGAATCCCACCTGTGCAGTTGCATTTGTAGAGATTTTTTTGAAAAGTCCAGAAGAGCTTGATTTCTGTTTTCTGGATCTGTCTGCAATGCCTTTTCTCCTGATGATGAAAAAACTCATTCATTTAAAATGTAGTTACTTTAACATCCATCACCACCACACTGGCAAAGTCATGACTACCACCGCCTCCACATCAATAAAGCCATCACAAACACCACTACCATCACCAGCACTATGCGAGTGAAGCCATCGTGTGCATCGCCGACCTTCCCATAGCAGCTCCTCGGTGGTGGAGATGCTCGCCTGCAGCAGACGTTGGCACTCGAGCAGTGGCTGCTGCCCGCGATGGCGCAGGGTGTCCACTTGGGAGAGTAACGCGTCACGCCGCTCCCTAAGACGCGCCGTCAGCTCTCGCTCCAGCTCGGAGAAGTGCACCATCAGTTCGGCACTCGTACGCCGCCCGCTCTCCTCCACCTGGCATCGCACATGGTGTGACACGCGGTGCGACATGCGGTGTGATGAGAGAAGTGCACCGAAAAAAACGGGCTCACGTGATGTTGCTGCTGCTGCTGCAGCTGATGATGCTCATGTTTTTCTGCTGCTTTAATAAATAGCAGGTGTGCTGCCCACAAACAGGAGATAGGCACAGCTCCCACCAGGCCTTGCATGCATGACAAGCGATCACCACATTGCACATGCAATGCTCTCAGCCTTGTCCGGACCATCATCTTACAAGCTAAATGTGTGGCCTTGTTGTTGTTGTTGTTTAGACCAACAACTGAAAGAAGAGTTGAAAAAACTGTCCGTCACAACAGTTGTGATGTGTTTTTTCATAATTTTATAGAAACTGTTGCATTTACACGGGATCTGCTGCTGACGATGATGATACACGTAGGCTTTCGCGACTAATGTTATTCATAATCAACGTTTTTGGGTTTAGATCGCGTTATTTATAAATGTGCCGTAACCCTCCACCACCCGACACGGCCAATCAGTAAAAATGTGTCACGTTGACAAAGACAAATAGTTCACTGCTTTAGCCCACCGGTGTGTTGAAGCCACAACATTTACAACATTTACAATTTGAGTACTCAAATTTTGAGTACTCAAATTGTAAATGTTGTGGCTTCAACACACCGGTGGGCTAAAGCAGTGAACTATTTGTCTTTGTCAACGTGACACATTTTTTTAAAAATAAACAATTTGAGTACTCAAATTGTAAATGTTGTGGCTTCAACACACCGGTGGGCTAAAGCAGTGAACTATTTGTCTTTGTCAACGTGACATTTTTACTGATTGGCCGTGTCGGGTGGTGGAGGGTTACGACACATTTATAAATAACGCGATCTAAACCCAAAAACGTTGATTATGATGATGATACAACTGCTGCTACAGCTGCTGAAGCTTATAACAGAGAGTGGGAAATGACAATGAAAAGCTAGACCGAGTTCGAAAACATTTTCAGGAGGGTCCTGCTGTGCTGAAATGAGCTTGGAAGTTACCTACGACTGGGGTGATCAGTGAGTGAACATGTGTGCATATGATATCGCTTACATTTCTGAGAAGATAGCACCCTCTGCTGCCAGAAAGTGAAAACTGTCTGTCTTAGAAGACAACATTGTTCTCGTAGTCTCATTACTGCGAGAATAATTCAGCATTGGGCATAAAATATGTAGACATGCATATAAGGGAGGAATGCCTAAGATTAAGTATGATGTAGTAAACGATAGCATATGTGTAATAAAGGACTCGGACGCTTCTCTCTGACTTCGTGTCCTTTATTGGGTTCTTGTCTGTTCCCTCACGGCACTCTCTTATAGACACTCTATTTGTAGCCCCCGGCTGCTATCGCTATTATAGCCTCCTTCCTCTCCCTGCAGACTCTCTGCTATCTCTATTGTAGCCTCCTTCCTTTCCCTGCAGACTCGCTGCTGACTCCCTATGCAGATCCCCGCTGCTAACTCTATATGCAGACCCTCTTGGCTGCTACTCCGTATGCAGACCCGCTGCTAACTCCGTATGCAGCCCCGCTGCTGACTGCAGCCTCCTCGCTGCTTCGGGTCGGTCACCGCTGGCCGACGGTGCCGATCCTCGCTCCCCGTGTCCGTGGCGATCTCGCCACCCTCCGCTTTCGCCCTTCGTGGCCTCTCTCGTTCCTGGTCCCCCGTCACTCCCCTTTTCCTCTTCCGGTTCCCTCCCTCTATAGCTTAACCCCTCTCCCCCACGTGACCTAACTCCTCCCCTCATGACGTCACTTCCGGAGGGCCGTTTACGCCCGCATTACATCACCCTCCCCCGTAGAGAAAATCCAGCCGACCTCGGCTGAAATGCAACTTGACAAGCAATGCGGGTGTAAAGGACCAACACGTAAAAAAGACACGAAGCATGCAACAACAATATAACAAAACGCAACACAATTTAACGAAACGTGAAGGATTTCGAGCGAGTACGGGTAGCCGGGCCGTCCCGGACGGTCGGCAGCCCACCCGCCGAGCGGGAACGTGGCAGGGTTTTAAGGGCGACAGGAGCAAGTTCATCCGCCGCCATTGGAGGCCCGCCACCGTCCCGGTCGCGTTCAGAGACGTCCCGTAATCGCGTCCGCGGAGGAATAGGAAGAGCTGCAGGCCCCGTAGTTTCTGCGGCTCCGGTCGGCATCCCACGAGCGGAACGTCCTCCCTCCTGCGGCGTCACGGCCGGCTTGTCTGTAAGGGGTACGACAGGCGCTCTTGCAAGGTCAGCAGGCACAGGCAAGGGCGAGTCGGCAGCAACAGACCCCGGCAAGGCAACCTCGGGAGATGACGCATCCGGTCGCGGGGCAATGAACGGCTTCAACCGGGATGTATGCACGAACCAGCGCCGCGAACCAACCCGAACACGCGCCGACTGTGGGTTGGGAACCTCAATGAGGCGGACCGGTCCTTGCCATGGTTTATGTAATTTAGGAGAGGTACCTGGCCGCACCTGTGGGCAATGAAGCCAGGCCAGGTCCCCCGTTTTCCAGGGGCACTCCCCCTTTGAACGTCGGGCACACCGCTCATTCCTGGCCTGGGCTTTGGCCGTAGCCATGCGGGCTCTTTCCCTCGCCTGAGTGACACGGCGAACGTTGTCCTGAATATACTCAGGAAGAGGCTTAACAGGTCCCCTCGCACCGGTTCCCAACTGCTCATTAATCGGCGGCACATTTTCACGGCCGTACATAAGAAAGAACGGCGAGTATCCAGTAGCCGCGTGCGGCGTCATGCGATACGCCGAAAGCACCCCAGGGATATGCAAATCCCAATCAGATTGATTTTCCCCGACTGTATGGCACAGCATGGCGGACAGGGTCCGATTTAACCGTTCCACCATACCATCCGTTTGTGGGTGGTAGGGAGATGTCCGTATCTTTTTAGTTCCAAGAGCCGCACACACCTCCCCCAACAATTTGGACGAAAAGTTACGGCCTTGATCTGTAAGGAGCCTCTCCGGCGCCCCCTTGTCCATTACATACCCAAATAGAAAGGCGTCAGTGATCGACGCCGCTGACTGGTCAGGCAAAGGCCAGGCCATCGGCCAGCGGGAGAGGTACTCCACCCCCACCAGTAAATACTTATTTCCCCTAGCGGATGGCGGAAAGGGTCCCAAAATATCTAACGCCACCAGCTCATTAACTCGAGATACTTGAATCGATTGTATCGGCGGAACATATGGATGTTTAGGCGGCTTACGGCGGGCACAATCGGGACACGCGTGAATGTGACCGACGACATCTGTCGTCATGCCGTGCCAATAGTAGTCTCGCTGCAGCGTCAATAGGGTTTTCTGCACCCCCAGATGTAAAAGTGTGTCACAATGCAGAGATCTAATCAATTCGTACCGCAATGACGCCGGTACAACGAGACGCCAGCGTTCCTGTATCCCTTCCCTCCACATCAGCAACCCATCTCGGAGAGCAGTTTCCGGTACACCACCCGCACCGAGTCCCCTACTTGCTTTCTCCGTTTGCTTTCGTAACGTCACCAAGGAATCGTCCAACATTTGCTCCCGAATCCACACAGACCTCGGGAGACGCAAAACCCCATCAGCCGGTCCCCCATCAACCGGTCCCGGTGTAAGCGGAGTTTCAAGAACATCCACCGCCAGCGCGACAGGCTGAGGGGGGAGCTGAATCGGTCCACACCTATGCGTCCCCGACGCACACGCACAAGGGGATTGTTGCGGCAACCTGGAAAGTGCGTCCGCATTAGCGTGACGCACACCCTTCCGATGATGAATTTGGAAGGAAAATTCTTGCAGCGTGTCCAGCCACCTCGCCAATTGTCCGGATGGCTGGTCCATCTTAAGAGCATACTGCAAGGCCGCATGGTCCGTGCGGACAATAAACGACCGACCGTACAGATACGGTCGAAATTGGCGGAGAAAAAAAACAATGGCCAAAAGTTCCCTGCGAGTGACGCAGTAGCGGGTTTCCGCGGGAGACAAAACCCGACTCCCATACGCCACCACGCGCTCAACTCCACCTTTCGACTGGGACAACACCGCCCCAATACCAGTGTCACTTGCATCCGTATCCAGAATGAAAGGATGTTCAAAATCCGGATAATCCAACGTCGGTGCAGTAGCCAATAAATCGCGCAGGCTCCGAAACGCCGCCTCCTCCGGCGGTCCCCAAGCAAATTTGTGTCCCTTCCCAGTAAGGAGATGCAAAGGCCTCGCGATAGTAGCAAAATTCGGAACAAACCTCCGATAATACGAGGCGAACCCCAAAAACCGACGCACATCACCCACAGTAGCCGGGGTTGCCCAATCACGGACACACGCCGTCTTCTCCGGATCCGTGGCCACCCCGTCCGCACTAACAATATGTCCCAAATATCGAACGGAGTGTTGCAGCAGGTGACATTTCTTTGGCTTGAATTTCAAATTAGCAGAACGCATTCTGGTGAATACAGCCTCCAACCGCAGTAAATGCTCATCAAATGTGCGGCTGAAGACAATAATATCATCTAAATATATCAGACATGTCTCCCACTGCAACCCCGTTAATACCAACTCCATCAACCTCTGAAAAGTGGCAGGGGCCGCATTCAACCCCATCGGAAGACAGTTAAATTGAAATAACCCCTGCGGCGTACGGAAAGCAGTCTTTTCTCGCGAGGGCTCGTCAAGGGGGAGCTGCCAGAAGCCCGAAGAGAGATCTAGCGTTGAAAAAAACTTAGCCCCTGACAAGGCGTCGAGAGAATCGTCCATACGCGGCAGGGGATACGCATCTGCCACCGACACTTTATTCAACTTACGAAAATCCACACAAAATCGCAATTTACCATCCTTTTTTTTAACCAACACAACAGGCGCGCCCCACGGGCTATTAGACGGAGATATAATATCCGCTTTCAACATGTCATCCACCGCCCCTCGAACATGCTCACGCTCAGCCGGACTCATCCGACGCGAGTTCAAGCGGATAGGGGCAGCGTCCCCTGTGTCGATATGATGATAAAGCAGCGAGGTGCGTCCCAAGTCCAAATCGTCGGAACTGAACACATCCGAATAACTCGATAATAATTTATGAATCGCACAACGCTGTTCGCCGGAAAGGGCCGAATTCTCCCCACACAATTCAGCGATCCAACGATCATCCACCGCTCCATCGTGTGAAACCCCACCCACCAGCCCTCCGTCTGGCAGATCACTCTGAGCCGTAAACGCCGTAGTGGCATGTGCCACAACGGTACCAGCCGGCACACACACACTTTCAGTACTCGCATTAAGCACCTGCAAAAACGGCCGCTGATCTGGACGGACAATGGTTTGCGCCCCCACTAGCGCCAATCCGCCCGTAACAGCGGCGGACGGCGACAGCAAAATCCCAAAAGCACCCTGCCGACCCGGCACCGGCTTCCGATATCGTAAGGGAATTAGCATCTGCGAGCCAGGTGGAATATCAACCGAAACTTCCGATAACGCCTGCACCTGGGCGACAGGAGCCGGCCGCCCCCAGGCGGACTGTAAAAATGCCAATTTCCGGCCCCCCGGTAGTTCAATGCAATTTTCATTGATTCGAATTAGAATGGGCATTTTAGCCAAAAAATCAGTACCCAACAGGCAAGGAACCGCCAGGGACCTCGAAATTAACACAATTCCCGAGGCCGAGACTCCCCCGATAGAAATGTTAGCGTCCACCTGGCCCACAATGCCCATACTACCCCCGTTTGCAGCGATGCAGGAAGCGTAAGCCGGCCTCACGGCCCCCGGTGGGATGTTCAAAAGGTGGAATTTCACATCCGAAATAATGGTCGCGGACGCACCGGAATCCACCAAAATGCGTACGTCCACCCCTTGGATCGACCCAGGTACAGTGGACGAACCGGTAGCGGCCGTGACAACCCGCTGAGCCAGCTTACGCCACTGCGTTATCGAGCGACAAGGCGCAGATACTGGCCTCCCGTATTTAACAACATCCGCGTCGCACAACAACGGCGATGAGTGAGGTGTCGGGCCTTGCCAGGTGTCTGGTGCGCACCGACTTGCCTGTGCTGGAGGATCTTTCTTTGGAGCGTTCGCTGTCGAGGCCTCCTGCTGGGGCGGACCCGGAACGCGGGCCCAGCAGTCTCTGGCATAATGGCCCCGACGCCCGCAGCGGAAGCACTCGACCTCGGTGCGGCGCGCAGCGGGCACCCCGTCCCGACGCGGCCGTACCGGCGGCGCAGCCCGCGGCCCCAGCCCGCTTCGGGCCGGCCACGGAGCAGAAGCGGCCGACAGCTCCTTCTGGCTGCTCCCATCCGGCACGTATACAGCCTTTGTAGGGTCCCACCCTACGGCACCTCCTTCGACGACAGGACCCCCCGTCCACGCCGTGACCTGTTTCCAGTGGCGAAGGTTAAACTGGGCGTCCAGACACTTGGCCGCGGCCCGGGACGTGAGCTTTTCGTGACCGCACGCCGGCATAGGAATGCCAAGATCTCGGGACAACTCCAACATCTTCCCCAGGATGAGAGGTTCCAGCAGGTCAGGCTCCGTCTCCGGGTAAGCGGCCATAGCAAGTTCCAACACGGCGCCCCTGTACGCCACCGGTGACTCCTCGGGTGCGCGTTGCCGTTGCACAAATCGGCGATGGGCGTCATCCGGTGGCTCGTACGCGTCCGCCATTTCATCGAACACCCCTCGCAGAGTCTTCTTCTTCGCAGCTTTTATGGAGCGAAAAAAACGAACGGACTCGTCATCAAGAAGAGTCGGAAGCACCTCCAGTGCCTCCGCGTCCGTCCACCTCGCTGTACGTACCGCCGCCAAAAAATCTACAGGCGAACGCACTCCAATCGCCACCGATGGAGAATTCTTTAACAGTTGTTAGGTGACGACTGCGACTCCTTGGCTTGCTTCCTTCAGCCGCTGACTCCTCCGGTGGTAAATTCAACAAGGCGTCGCAACGCGGTGGCGACAAGATGGCGGCCGACCGTCGCGGCGGTCCCAAAATGGCGGCTTCCCGTTTTCCGTGGTGCGCCACGCCCAAGATGGCGTCTTCGTGCTGCGTGGCCGATGGCGGCGCCATCGAAGACGACCCGGGCTCCTGCCGATCACCAACATCACCTTCCAACGCCGCCCTTGGCGTGACAAGGTCACACAACTGTGTAATGACGTTTTTAAGAGTTACCAGTTGCTCCGCCATCTGGGTCCATCTTAAATCTGCGTCCAATGGAGCAGATGGGTCCGACGACGCGGCGACCTCCTGGACACCCGGACCCGCACCCGTCCCATCACGGATCTTTTCCTCTGCCAAAGGCAAGCCGACTGCAGGAGGAAGATCGTCGTCGTCGGAAGATGAAGCCGACGCCGGAGATGGAATATTCTTTTTCCTCAATTGTTTCGCCATGCCGTTTCACTTCTGACTCCAGTGTAATAAAGGACTCGGACGCTTCTCTCTGACTTCGTGTCCTTTATTGGGTTCTTGTCTGTTCCCTCACGGCACTCTCTTATAGACACTCTATTTGTAGCCCCCGGCTGCTATCGCTATTATAGCCTCCTTCCTCTCCCTGCAGACTCTCTGCTATCTCTATTGTAGCCTCCTTCCTTTCCCTGCAGACTCGCTGCTGACTCCCTATGCAGATCCCCGCTGCTAACTCTATATGCAGACCCTCTTGGCTGCTACTCCGTATGCAGACCCGCTGCTAACTCCGTATGCAGCCCCGCTGCTGACTGCAGCCTCCTCGCTGCTTCGGGTCGGTCACCGCTGGCCGACGGTGCCGATCCTCGCTCCCCGTGTCCGTGGCGATCTCGCCACCCTCCGCTTTCGCCCTTCGTGGCCTCTCTCGTTCCTGGTCCCCCGTCACTCCCCTTTTCCTCTTCCGGTTCCCCTCCCTCTATAGCTTAACCCCTCTCCCCCACGTGACCTAACTCCTCCCCTCATGACGTCACTTCCGGAGGGCCGTTTACGCCCGCATTACATATGTATAAATGTGACGAGATAATATTGTACTGTAGTATAAGTTAGATGGTTATTGTATATGTTAAACTATATATATTATAGGTTATTGAAGTACTGAAAATCTATTTTTATAGGAATTATAGACACCTCAGCAGGAAACATATGGAAGAGTCTCCTAGATTAAAACATTGACAGAGGAAGTATAATGGGGAGAGAAGTGACCCCTGGGCACTTGGTCACAGACGGATGGTGCGAGGACGTCACGGACCATACAGCGTCGCACGAGGTCGTCAGGCTGAGTTATGAGACGGCTGTGTGAAGAAGGATGCTCGTGTCCATCCCGGGGTGAGGCCAGCACCGCAGTGTGCGAGCGGACTGTGGGGCGCCCCCGACTGACCGCTTATGGGGGGTGACAGCTGCCAAATCAAAGGCTCGTTTGTGGACGTTGAAAAAATAAATCTTTCGAGCAAGTAAGCTACAGCCTGTGACAAGTTAATGCATTAAGGCCGTCAGTGTAAATGTGGTTGTGTGGATATGTTAAATTGACATTACTCTATTCGTTAGGAGTTGGACTAAGTGGTTTTAATCGGTGTGATTGTTATTGGTTTTACCGTTGATGCACTTTAACGAGTGAAACGTAGCTACTGAGTGGTGTGTGCTCTCTCACACGCGGGCACCTCACCTACCACAAGCTGCAACCTGTTCACTGCATGGCACTTGCATTGGGATGTTTATCCAACACCAATACATTTCGTGCTTTTAAGCTATGACAGAAAACAGAACCCAGAGGAAACCCCATGCAGAACACGGGAAGAACATACAAACTCCACACAGAAAGGCACCCAAATCAGGAATCGTGAACCCAAGTCCTTCTTGCTGTGAGGCACAAGTGGTACAAATCTACTGCTATTCTTCTTTCGTATGGATTACATTTGTGTGGCAATCATGTATTGCTATCCAAGCTTGAAATCCAGTCAAAAGCTTTCATAAGATAGTAAATGTATTCCACACAATCTTCCTGAGAATGAGTATCGCGGGCACGAGTTTACCAAGTGATCAATTGTTCGATTTGGTACTCCGCAGTCAAACAGTGGAATTTCTTTTATCAGCCCTGATAATGCAACACCCCTGATAATGACGTTAGTGATGATGATGATGGTGGTGGTGTGCCCCTGCACCTGATTGATGGCTCTCTGCAGTTCGCCCATTCGGCACTGGAGCTCCTGCTGGTAGTGGCGTGCAGCCTCGATGCTCTCCTGAGTCTCACGGTGGAGCTCCATCCCTGGGCTCTGCTCCGCCACGGGATCGCGAGCTTTCCCGTGTGGGCTCCGAGGCCTGTGCCAAACACACACACACTCAGCAATTCGTTCCCTGCACAAGAGTTTTGGAGTTGTACCGTTTCAAGGAACAAATTGGCAACCGTCCAAGTGAACCGGTTTTTTCAGTGATCAAATATTACATTTTACAGGTCATTTATTTAGCATTGCATTTTCAACCGGAGTCTTATTGTTTGATGAACGGAATGTGAGGAGAGAACACACAGACATTTCAAAACAAATATTATAAGCGCCTATACTTGATCAAAATCACACTTCAGACTATACTCGCACCATAACAAAGGGAAATGTGAATATATTGTAACCGATACTGCTGTCATTTAGCGACAGCGCATAACCCTGTTCGACATCTTTTGTAAAATGTATTTTGGTTCTTAATGTAGTCTTAGTGTGGCTGTGTGCTAAGTGTATTTATTGTTGCATTGCGTGAGTGCGAGAGGCAGTGGCAGTTTTGAGAGGTCTTCATCTAGGACTGGATTGGCTATAGCTGATGACGATGATACGCCTCTCTGCTACAGATAAAAAAAGGCAATTTTGCATGTATTCCAGAAACAACTGAAAACTTCTGTGCAATGAGGTACAAGAACTTGCTGAACTTTTTCCTGCTTCAAAGAATAATAATGTTGCAACTTTAATAAGTGTCAAACCTATTAATTAGCCATGCCACTGTACTTGATGCGCAGTGACCTGCCCGAGGCTCACAGAGTACCGATCTGTCGCCGTCTTTGCTCCAGCAACCCCTGCGTTCCCTCTGCCTTCCAAAAGGAACGTGGGAGGGAGGTCACCCACCCATTCTCCTCTGCTGTTTTGTGATTCTGACTGTGCAACAACCTTGCAGTGTAATGCTTGTGTAAAGTAGTAACTCGGCAGGAGACGACTTCACGGGTAGCACACTCTTTATTTTCACCAACTTGTAGTTACACGGATGACTAACACCCTACTTCGTTACACGGGTGACCAACACCCACTTAGCTACACGGGTGACGGACACCCACTCAACTACAACTTCGTTACACGGGTGACCAACACCCACTTAGCTACACGGGTGACCAACACCCACTCAGCTACACGGGTGACCAACACCCACTCAGCTACACGGGTGACTAACACCCACTCAGCTACACGGGTGACCAACACCCACTCAGCTACACGGGTGACTAACACCCACTCAGCTACACGGGTGACCAACACCCACTCAGCTGTACTGACACGGGCTCTTACGCCCTGTAGCCTTCCGGGACACACCCAGCCGGGGTGCCCGTCTCGGCTCTGGGTACCACCGTCCCGACCCACACGGGCGTCGGACTACGGTCCCCCCAGTCTCGGCTCCGAGCCACACAGGGCCCCTACCTCCTCCACCCCGTCTTCGGTCTTCAACTGGTTAACACTGACCACGAGTGCTCTCGCGCGTCCCCCTTTATACCCCTCCTGCGGACGTCGCTGAGAGTACTCACTTATCTGACCAATCACTGCGCACTCGCTACGATCCTCTTTTCCCAGCTTGTGTGAGCGCGCCTCACCACCGGCGCGCGCGTCCATGCCACGCCCACACCGCGTGCCCAACCCCGCGCCCCGTGATCCATCACTGCCGGCGCACGTCAATACCACCACTACATCACCCCCTACCACATAGCTCGCAGCCGACCCGGCTGCTAATAAAACCTACAACACCCCTTCACCCCCATGTGTGCCCCGTAACATAACACAAACCCTAACAACACAACATGAACACCGCAATCCGCAAAACCCAGCAACCGCCACACCCGCAACAAGAACAACATGCACAATCCAGCGAGTGGCAACGATACTGTGTATGCGGAAAGAGTAACAATAAAAAAAATTTCTTTAATCATTTTCTCTTCTTTTCTCTCCGACTCATGCAGCGTCCCAATGTCCGAGCGTCCCTTGAACGGGACATTACCCCGGCAGAGGGGGAAGCCGGCAACGAAGTCGGGCTTTAACAAAAAAAGATTTTTTTTTTTTTTTTTTCATGAAAAGTGTTGCGTCCTTGACCGAGTCCGCCTTGCCGGACCGTCGTACGGCACAGGACGCAGTTGGCCATCCGGCGGCGCCGGCAGTTCAGGAAGGCATGGGCCAGGCATCGGGGCTCCGTGCGAGCCGCGGGGTTCCGGTTCCCGACGGTCAACAGCCGTCAGGTCCGAGACACCTGGGGGTGGGTCAGGTGGAGACACGTGAGGATCAGCCTGCGACACATCCCTCCCCGAGCCGACGGTCACATCACACGCTCGGTCGTCACGGCACAACCCGGGGTCACGCGGCGCCGCGTAGGGTTTCAGTCGGGAGGAGTGCACGTACCAACGGCGTTTTCCCCATTTAATCTGTATACTCTGGGGTCGTGCAACCCGCACAATTTCCACCGGTCCCCTCCATGGTCTCAACAGTTTGGGGGACGTAGCCAACGGTGCGTGTGGACAATGCAGCCAGGCCTTATCGCCCGGTTCCCAATTGTGCGTATGCACCTTCCGTTCATGCAATCGCTCGTTCGCGATCTGCCGAGAGCGTGAATTCAATCTCGCAGCCTCTCGCGCCTCAGCCAATTTGGCGATGTTAAACTTAATGTGGTCTGCCAATTTAGATTTCGCACGTGGCTGTGAAATCCCCAGTTGGACGTCCATGGCCGGATCAGCCTCCCGCCCATACATCAGAAAAAATGGAGAAAACCCCGTCGCCGCATGGGGTGCCATCCGATAGGCCGCTAGTACCCCCGGTACCTGTAAGTCCCAATCCACCTGGTCGTCGCATACCTGTTGGCACAGCATAGACGTAATCGTCCTGTTCAGACGTTCAACCATACCGTCAGTCTGCGGGTGGTACGGGGAGGTACGTACTTTCTTTGTACCCAACAGGTCGCACACCTCGCGCAACAAAACACTCGAAAAGTTTTTCCCTTGATCCGTCAGCAAGCGTTCGGGGGCGCCTTTGTCCAAAACGTAACCTTGGACAAAGGCGTCCGCCACTGCCGCAGCCGACTGGTTGGCGAGTGGCCACGCCATGGGCCAGCGGGTGAAGTACTCTACGCCAACCAGCAGGAACTTATTTCCCCGAGGTGTAGTGGGAAAGGGCCCCAAGATGTCTAGCGCGACCAATTCGTTCGTGCGCGAAACTTGAATGGATTGAAGCGGTGGATTAGCCGCTATTGGTGGCGGTTTTCTTTTAGCGCACCCTACACACCCCTTAAGAATGTTCGCCACGTCACTGACCATCCCAGGCCAATAGTAGTCTCGCTGAATGAGGGCGAGCGTTTTGTGAAACCCCAGATGCATGAGTCGTTCATGGGCAGCCAGGACGACCTTACCCCGTACAGCAACCGGCACCACAAGCATGTGACGCCGGGACATGGAGTCCCACTTCATCAAGAGGCCCTGTCTGCACACCCAGGAACTGACCCGCGTTTCCCCGCCCTCGGGAACGTTAACCTTCCGACGTAGCGCGAGTAGGGAGCTGTCGGCCATTTGCAGACGGCCCCACTCGATGAGAGGCAATGCTAACAGCGAGTCCCTCCCCGTGGGGGCGTCGACCCCCGTAGTATCCGTGGCGGCTAGCACCACTTCCGCGGGGACATCGACAGAAGGTTTACACCGCGCCGATCCCAACTGACATGCGCATTCCGTACGCGTCGGCAACCGTGACAATGCATCCGCATTCGAGTGGCGCAACCCCTTGCGGTAAATCGTCGTGAATTGGTAGTCCTGAAGGACCTCCAACCATCGGGACAATTGGCCGGATGGCTGCGCCACCCGCATAGCGTATTGGAGAGCCGCATGGTCCGTGCGAACCGTAAAGTGACGGCCATACAGATACGGCCTGAATTGCTGTATAAAAAACACAATCGCCAGCAATTCACGCCGTGTCACGCAGTAGCGTTGTTCCGCGGGGGACAGAACCCTGCTACCGTAGGCGACCACCCGTTCGACCCCCCCGACCACCTGTGAGAGCACTCCCCCGATACCCGTGTTACTGGCATCCGTGTCGAGCACAAACGGTTGCGTGAAATCGGGGTAACACAAGGGGGGAGCCTGCACCAAGGCGTCACGAAGGGAGCAGAACGCGGCCTCCTCCTCCGGCCCCCAGTGAAACCGCACCCCTTTAGCCGTCAAGGCGTGCAGGGGCCTGGCTATGGTGGCAAACTGTTTGACAAAACGACGGTAATAGGAGGCAAATCCTATGAAGCTGCGGACTTCAGTAACAGAGGTCGGTGTTGGCCATGAGCCGACGCATTGCGTCTTAGCAGGGTCCGTCGAGATCCCCGAACGGCTAACGATATGGCCCAAATACCTGACCGATTCCCGAAGCAGAAAACATTTAGCCGGTTTAAATTTGAGCTTCGCGGAACGCATCCTGAGAAACACTGCCCTCAGTCGCTGGAGGTGCTCCTCAAAAGTTCGGCTGAAAACGATATCATCGAGGTAAATCAAACAGGTGTCCCATTGAAGGCCTGACAAAACCAATTCCATGAGCCTCTGGAACGTGGCAGGAGCGGAATGTAAACCCATGGGCAATCGGTTGAACTCAAATAGGCCTCCCGGTGTCCGGAAAGCGGTTTTAGGTTTTGATTCGTCATCGAGGGGCAATTGCCAAAATCCCGAAAGCAAATCGAGCGTCGAAAAAAACTGTGCTCCTGCCAAGGCATCCAGCGACTCATCCATCCTGGGGAGCGGATACGCATCGGCCATTGATATTTTGTTTAGGCGGCGGAAATCAACACAGAACCGCAGGGATCCATCCTGTTTTTTAACCAAGACGATAGGAGCACCCCACGGACTGGAAGAGGGCGCAATGATGTCGGCCGCCAACATGTCATTTACTGCCGACTGCACATGCTCCTTCTCGGCTGGACTGAGCCGGAAGGGATTCTGTCGAATAGGGGCCGCGTCCCCAGTCTCTATGTGGTGGCGCAACAGGTCTGTGCAGCCAATGTCGTACTTGTGCCTGCTAAACACGTCAGCGAACTCGAGCAGCAAGCCCCTCAATGCACCC